ATGCCAAGTTCAGCCGCAGAAACCTTTGGTGCTCCGCGGCCTCCCAGACGTGCGCACTGTATGCACATCCGGTGAAAAGAGGCGAAGACGTTGATCTGTAATCTAACGGTGAACATTTTCATCCTCTCGGCGCAAAACGGTGTCCGCCTACGCCTACTGCTTCCCAGTAAAACCGGGAAGTCTCGCCATTGCCTTTCTGAACGGAACCGAAAAGACAACATACTTTAGAGCATCCGAGCCGGAGTGTCTGTGCAAAAAAAAAAAAAATAATTCAACATTTGCATAAATACGTTACACATTTTCTTTTTTTTCTCCTCGCATTCCGGCTGCTCCTCTCCTATTTTATATTGTTTCACACTTTATTCATCTCCTCTCATATCCCACTTGGGGAGTTAATAACATTCACGCTTTGTCTGCGCGCTCTCCGCGCTGCGTGCATGTTCAAAACACTAATAGCTTTTTGTAGGCGCAACGCTGAGGCTCTTTGAATTCTGTTTGCTGCCACAGGTAAAGTCCTAAAATTTCCACAAACAATAATAACAATGTTGTACGCTGCAGTATTAGCTACAGGCTTATCTTTTTCAACTTCCTCTGCACTCGCTTTCATAGCACACTTAAACCAGGAGCTCAATATTATGAAGGGGTTTGCAATGAAGGAGGTGCATTGTTTACGCTTAATGAGGAAAAGAGGAGACGTTACACACACACACACACACACACACACACACACACACACGCACACAGAAAGATGCTAATCAGACAATAGATCAGACTCATCAAAGTGAAGCAGTCTGTTCTTGAGTGACTTTGATAATTACCTGCCTGGCGTTGCCTTATAAGTACGTCCCAAGTTTGCTCTGTTGCTTTGTGAGTCAGAGGGGGGGTGGGGGGGCCAAACTGCCAGTTTGTGTTTTGCAAACAGTTCTGGTGCATTTTTGTTTTTGTACATTTGAGTCTGTCTGTGAAGGTTCCCCCCAAAAAAGTCACCTCCAAAAGTTACCGGGAAACTTGAAAAAAACGGGGTGAATAACATCTAAATATGTAAATAAAATGGATCTAAACGATGGTATCCAATACCAACATGAACATCAGACCAATGCATTGGACTGCACACAGCTTCAACCTAGCATCTTAATTAGCCGACAGCGTGCACTGTGGCAGCCTTTCGCCATTTTTTGAGGTCCTTTTGCCGTGCCACACGCACCACCGTGTGGGTACTGGTGTGTAAGGACAGGACAGTGTGTGAGAAGAATAAAATATGCAATATAAATGCTGGTATAGTTTTTATGTGATGGATATGAATGGTTTAAATAGCTCAAGGGATTTACTAGGTGTCAGGTTTGGTGCTCCCACAGTGCCAGCCTCTTCATCCTTCCTGGCTACTCCCTGTGATGTCAGCAACTGTGTGTGTGTGTGGGTGTGTGTGTGCTGCAGGCTAGGAGTAGGATATTGTTGTTGAGCTGTATGGACAAAGCAGTCAGTTTTAAACACTCTCTGGACAATATTTACGTGACCTGAATCGTTTTTTTTTTTCTCCATTTTCTTTTTTTTCTGGACTGACAATAGATACCTTTTTATTTGTGCTCGGTGTTTAAGTAGCAGCACCAGCTCTGCGATGCTATGAAACTGTGTTTTCTGGTGATTTTAGGTCTGAAGCTGTAGCTATTCTGGGATGTGAAATGAATCCGGCCTCTTGCTAACTTCTGGAAATCTCTAAATGGTTTAGAGAACGCTTCTGTAGCTTTCCTCACTTCCTGTTCTGTCCGTTGTCGTTACAAACCGCTAACACGCGTCGATAGGAGCGGGCCCCAGAAGCCTTTCAACATTTTGGTCTGCCTCTCCGTGTGTGTGTCTGCGGGATGCCTTCTATTGCCATGGCGATGCACCGGGGGCAGTAGCTGTTGAAGCACACACACACACACACACACACACACACACACACACACACACATGCTCAACACGCGCACACTCATAACTCTCCTTACAGTCTCTTAGGGAGGTGCAGAAATAACTGGATGTTTGAAATTGGGTTAAGAGAAGAAAAAAGAAAAACTGGGTTGAAGAGTGGTCCATTTTTAAATCTGTCGGCTGGTGTTGAAACGTCGTCGGAAGGGACTTTTAAAAACACTACACCCAACCACACCCCGAATGATCAGAACTAATGTAGCTGTGAATGCAGTGAGGGGGACTGTTTGGTTCCCATGTGGTAATTACTGCGTATGTGTGTATGATTCGGTTGAAAAAAGCAAAATGTGTTCGTTAAGATGTAAAATGATCTGTGTCAAATTAAATACAATTTCCGAGTCGTTCCATCCAATCAGCTGGTTCTTCCGTTTGCTGCATATTTACAACAGGAAGAACAACAGTGCTTCTTTCAGTAGTCGGGGAATAGCTGATGTGTTGGTTAAAATGCATTAAACAGCCATTAATAACCTTTTGCACCAAAATGGCGTCGCCGCGAGCAAAGAGGGTCGCCACGTAAAGCAGCGCGGCTTGTCGGTCGTCACCGCGGAGAGAAAAACATAGAAAGAAAGTAATACTCGACTCGAGCAGTCCCATCAGCCACTGGGGCAGACGCGTCAACGTGTACAGAAAACCTGACTGGTTTGTAGCCCGGTGGGACGAGGCCGGAAAAGTGGCCGGGGACTGGGTGGCCCAGAAGGGAAGCGGGACAAACAGCTGATACAGAGAGGCAAGCAGAGATGAACATTGACTTGTTTATCTTATTTATTTCTTACCGAGATCGGCAATGATAAGAGTGAGTGATGTTGATAAATGCTTGCGCAGCCAGTTTATCAGCAGCTGTCTGGCTTCTGGTCGCCTGCGGCAGCTTCCAAGGCTGATAACCTCTGAGGCCTGAAGCTAGGGAGGAGAAGGGGGGGGGGGGGTGCATGCTGGGTCTTGGCCAGCGTTTAACCCCAAACCGGTCAGTTGATATATTTTGCATGTCCACCAGTATCCGTTAAACATTGTCAAGTAGGGAAGAAACAACAACAACAACATAATCTTCCATAAGCTTCACTGAGAGCCTGTAATGCTCGTTACACAGCAGGAAGTACAATTGTTGGATGAATGAGAAATGGAGACAACTTTAGTTATTCTTAAATCCGCACCAGCAGGAGGACCTGAAAGGAAACCATCCCAACAAAAACAAAACAGAGGTTATTCCTCTGCACGCCGACCATTAAGGACATCGGACCCACATGAGACCCAGCTTCACGCCCTCGGGCTCTCCGTCCGCCTCAGGTGTGCTGTGAGGCGGTCATTACCACGCTAGCATGTAGCACTGTATCGCCACGTCAGCGTTTCGAACGTGCGAACGGCAACGTGCCTATGATAGGATGGTAGCGGTCCTTTTTTTAGTGCTTGGAGAAATGCTCTGCTCTTGTCAGTGCAATAAAAGATCCATGCTTCTCTTTTTATGGGTCTCGAAAAAAACAAACTCTTGTAACTTAAAAACAAAATAATTGATGAGCTCCTCCAGCGCTGAAGTGCATGCTGTGCGTGGAGCTGTTTTCTCTTTTACACTTTTAAATGGGAGTGAGTAATCTACACCACTGAAGTGTATAATAATTTGTCATGCACAATCTTTTGTTTTGGTGGTTTAAAAAAATGACAACGTAATAAGAAAAAGAGGAATTTAAAAAGAAGACACGTGCAATAGGAGAGGGCCCATGTGTGGGAGGCTGTGTGCACCTGGAAAGCACTTGACAGATGGTTACTTCAGCTCTACATGAATGCTTTCTCTCCACAGCGTTAAGCCTCTTTCATAGATTGGAAGTGTTGCGGTCAGTGTTTTGATCAAGGTGGGCTCTTTCTCTTCCTTGATAGTTTGCTCTGCATCTCCAGAGTGTGTTTATCCCGCCCCGGCCATTCATTGCTGTTTGATTTCCGGTGAGCTGAGGGAGATCAGAGCTGTGAATTTCTCTTTGCCAGACAGATTACGGAGCAGTGCATCACAAATCATGATATGGCCACATTGTATCAGTACATTCTCAAACTGAAGCGTAGGTTTGGAGAGGATTATATGTGGGGAAATGTGTGTCTCTGGAGTCCCAATAGCATGCAGTACTCTGGTGCTTTCTCCATTAGTTTCGACTGTCACTGCACTAGTTAAGAGCTATTAACAGAGGTCAGCTGACACAGGCCGAGGTGACAGGAGTCGGGTCAGGCCAAAGCTATATCCATAATAACAACATGGCTGCCATAGAGACACACAGTAATAAGTCCCTTTACGTTTATTCTTTTGACGTAAAGAATACGAAACCAATAAATCCTGAATTAATAAAGGTTAATCTTATCTTATAAATAAAACAGTTTAGTTGGTCTTAAATCAAATGTCCATGTAATGTTGGCGCATGAAAACCATTTCATACATGCACAGGTTCATTTTCAGTCGTGTGCAAAAAAAACGATTTTTGTTCCTCGCCGATTTTTACACTGACACTGGTGTTATATTACTGTAATTCCCTGAGAAATTGTCCTCCTAAATTTAGCACGCGCTCTCTGCAGCAGATGTTCATGCCCTTTTTGATGCCGTGGGTAATAATCCTTAATATTCTCGCTGTATGAAACTAAATGAGGCTTTAATGCACTCTGATTCCATCTTCCAGCTCTCATTGTTTTTTTTTTTTTTAAGTCCCTAAATTATTTCTGGTTTTTTTTAGTTTTTTTTTTTTTAGTTTTGCAAAGATGAACAGCAACTTTTTTGATGGACGAAATGGACGTCGGTAATTGTGCGACGGTCTGTTTTGATTAGAGCTCCAGTTTGAAATGTCATCGTGACGGGAAACTCACAGTATTTCTGTTCTTCCTGCCGATACCTTCAGCGTTGGCCATCTCTGCTATATAATGCTGGAGTGTTTATGAGGCTTGATTACTGTTTATTCCTGTTTAGCGACAATGCGTTCCTCGCTCCTTTTGTGTCCTCGCCGTCACAGGTGCTGTGTTTGAAGCCTCATCACTAATCCTCTCCTCTCCTCTCTTTTTTTCTATTCCAGATGGTCACAAGAACAAAGAAAATATTTGTGGGTGGCTTGTCAGCCAATACAGTAGTGGAAGATGTGAAGCAGTATTTTGAACAGTTTGGGAAGGTAAGACTGTTTTCATTGTTATTATTATTATTATTATTATCATCATTACCCTGCATCGTGTTCGCTGCGTCGTTGGACGCTCCACCAAACGAAAGGCGTATCATCATTAAGAGTGAAATATGTTAATTGGATAATTACACAATCAGCGCACAGTGCCCCCCTGTCACTCAGGCGGTGTCATTATGGGTTAGACCGCACGGCCGGCGCTGCGATCTTCACGGGCGATCAGCGAGGAATCTGAGGCTTTAAAAAGAAGCCGGCGGCAACAAGCTTGGCTCCTTCTCCCTGACAGTTGAGACAAATAAATCTCTATTGTGACGAGCAAACAACTGAAGATATGGCGATGGCTTCACATCGCTCACCGTGCCCGGTCAACAGCATGCATCTTGCTCTCAGTGCAAACAAGCTGCCATGACCAAAAATCAACAACAACAACATATATATATATTTCTCTTATCTTTGGTTGTACGGCGCTGGAAACAAATATAAATATAAAGGTATGGAAGTCTCGGGTCTGAAAGTAACACACAGCCGGCTCATATTCAGCTGTTTGTTCCTGTCTGCTGCAGCAGTGTCTGCACGGCGCTCTCGTGACCGATACCCCCAGCAGAGTGAGGCACACATGCACACTCTCTTTCACACAAGGACATGCAGACACACACACACACACACACACACAGACGCGGTTTGATACAGTGGCAGCATTTCACAGATAATGTCCTCCGCGCTGAGCGGAGATCCATTTCCCTCACGCCGTATTCCACATCAGTCAAGGTCACCTTCGGCGGCTACAGTCCCGCGCAACACCAGCTCTTGACCTTGGGTTTAAACAATTTCACCGAGGATGGATTTTCCACGGGCACATAATGTACAATGTCCCGAAGGAGATGGGAGGAGTGGCAAATTAATAGAAACTGTTTTTTTGTTGGGTTTTTTTGTGTTGCTTTGAGACAATAAGCCACCAGTGCTCCCGCTGCAGAGCCTTCTGTCATATTCTTGAGTGAAAGCGAGCAAGGTGAAGGACTTTGTTTTTTGCTCTTTATCTGCGGAAGTGGCATTAAAGACCTCGCCCCGGTCTCGCCCGCTCCAAATACAGGCGGCTTATTTGCACAATAGAACTTGGCGCGCAAATATTCAGCACGACTTCGCAATCAATGGATCTGAGAAAAGGGCTCGAAATGATTTTCGACTTGATTGAATGACATAATTGACTTGATTATACAAAGTTTTTTTTGCTCCTTGAGGAATCCTCAAATGCTTAGGAGGAAACAAACAAATCAGACTGATTGAGCGGGATCTTGTGCATGTTTCCGTGTGTGCTTTTATGGCCCACTTGTGCATGCTTGGATGTGTCTGCAGTACCGCTCTCGCCATGCGTGAGTGTGTCAGCGATTAAGTGTATTTATGTGGGTGCATGATTAAGGGTGCACGTGTGTGTGCGTGTGTGTACGGGCAGGTTTGAGTGTCTTCCAAAAAAAAAGAAAGAAGGGAAATCAGAGTGGATATTGTGGGCTATGGCAGACGAGATGCAGAGCAAAAGGAAGTATCGTTTTTTCTTTCCTTTACCGTTTTGTGTGTTATCATTCCTTTCTGCCTTACACATCCCCGGATTTATTAAATAACCTGCCTGTCACTGCAACCTACCATTATAGCCATGCACACACACACACACGGGAAAACCAATTAATTCAGTTTCCCCTCCGTAAGAATCTTGGTGGCAGTGTGTGTGTCAGTCTGTCAGTCAGTCATCAGTCAGTCTTCCTGTTCGTCTCTCTGCCTGTGTGCATGTCAAGGGTGTGTGTGTGTGTGTGTGTGTGTGTGTTGGGGGGGGGGGGGCGTTAGCTGGCGTGGTCGCGGGCAGCTAGTTATTTATATTTCCGGGAAGTGTGTTTTGAAGTACTTATCAATCATCACACAACTGCAGCTTAAGGCGCCGGCAAATGTTCTTCCTCACTGGGAACAAGCCGTTTCACTGATATTATTTCACAAGCACTGTGTTTATGTGCGCGTGTGTGATTGTGTGTGTTATGCTAGGCGGCGTAGGCCAATTAGCAGGATGTGGTCCACAGAGATGGTGGTGGTTGGGAGGCAGTGGAGGGGAAACAGCTGGTGTGGCCACAATTGGGTCACAGGTTCTGTCTGTAACCCCCCCCCCCACCCAATCACACACGCGCCCCCCCCCCCCCCCGGGGGGGGGGGGGAGGTGTTGTGGGGGGGGG